ATTTTATTTTAACTTTTTTGGTGCCCTTTGATTTTCAAGGTTTGTCTTGATTAATCCGAACGATGGGTCATACATCTAGTCTGGTAACTGAGTCCCAACGAGAATTATCTACATACAAGAATTCGAATTCAAACTACTGACGATATCAAGTATTTATCACTTGAATCATTTTGTTAATAATTTTATTTTAATTTTAGTCACCTACCTAGATTCATTGGGTTATTTTGTGTAAAAGCATGATTTTACACATGCCGGGGGTAAATGGTCATTAGGGAGGAAAAGAAGATAAGGTAGATAGTCATCATCATGGTACAATAAATGTAGCCATTTGGGCTGTAAAATCAGGTGAGAAGAAGTAGAATAAATTACCCTTTCCTATCTGATAAACTCCATTAATGTCGGTTTAAGAACCCAGTGGAGGGACCATTAATAATTGATATTAGTTGCCCTATATGGCTCGGGTTCCATCTTCATCTACCTTTAATGATTTAGGTTCAATTAAGGATGAATGGTTAAACTAATTGGATCAAAACAATTTAACTAGACTCGTTAATTTTTAAAATAATACAATAATGGGTAAAGTACACAATGGTCCTCGACTATATGGTACTATTTTATTAAGTTCATCGACTATTAAAGTACAAAATGATCATTCGACTATAGAGTGTTATTTTGTTGAGTCCTTGACTATTAAGGGTTACAAAATGGTCACCGACTATTCATTTATTAAATCTTCTTTTTTATTTAAAATGATGGTGTTAAATCTGATCTCAGAATCTCAAACGACTATTATATCTCAGTCGTCATGCTAATGTTCAGCTTAGACAATCGCTAATTTTTAACATAAAATGAGGACTTAGAACATAATGATAGTCGGTGACCATTTTGTAACTTTAATAATCGAGTGACTCAACAAAGTAACAATATATAGTCGGAGAATCATTTTGTAACTTTTAATAGTTGAGGAACTTAATAAATAATACCTTATAGTCGGGGATTATTTGTGTACTTTACCCTATAATAATATTCATCATGTTCATAAACACAATTACTCGAACTCGAATCTTCTAAATGGAATCACGAGACATCTAATTTCTACCATATTTTTGGACTTTTTTTATTAATATAGAGTGATTATAGGATATATTTTCTAAAAAATATTTAATATTTACCGATAACGTTCAAGCATTCTACAACGAGGATGTATTTTAGACATTTTAATCTCATAAGGGACAAGAAAAGAACATGTAATGTTCAGAAAGTCACGCGTGGGGATGGGCATGGTATTTGAATTCGATTCCATCATATGGATTTTTTAAAAAAGAGGGTGAGTCGGGTCGATTTTTTTAGGTTATGTTCAATTCAGGTCAAGTTCAGATTTAGGGTGAAAAATACTTGACCCGACCCAAAAATTTTACCTTATATATTTAGGGATAAATACAATAATGACCTTATATATATTATTTTTTTCAATCAAATCTCTATTTTTATTGAATAAAAATATTTTTCAATAAATATATTATTTCGGATCGGTCGGGTTAAATTCATATCTTATCTAAAAAAGGGGGTTGATTTGGATTAAGTTAAAGATGTATATTTTTAAGATAAGTTTCAAATAAGATGGAGTATATATCATTTTCGGGTCAAGTTTAATAGACAATAAATCCGTTTCGATACACGCGCGCGCGCGCACACACACACACACACACGCACACGCGCACACGCGCGCCGCGCGCACGCCGCACGCGCACGCAAACGCACACACACACACACGCACACACGCACGCACACGCACACGCGCACACGCACACGCACACACACACGCACACGCACACGCACACGCGACACACACGCACACGACACACGCACACACACACCACACACACACGCACACACACGCGCACGCACACACACACGCACACACGCACACCACACGCACGCACCACGACAGCACGCACACACACACGCACACACACACACACACGCACACGCACACGCACCGCACACACACACGCACAAACACGCACACACACGCACACACGCACACGCACACGCGCGCACACACACACGCACACGCACACACACACACGCACCACGGACGCACGCACGCACGCAGCACGCACGCACGCACGCAGCACGCACGCACGCACGCACACACACGCACACGCACACACACCACGCACGCACGCACGCACGCACGCACGCACGCAGCACGCCGCACGCACGCACGCACGCACGCACGCACGCACACGCGCACGCACGCACGCACGCACGCACGCACGCACGCACGCAGCACGCACGCACGCACACGCACGCATAAATACATATGAATTATATATATATATATATATATATATAGATTTTAGAACGAATGTTATTAATATAGTGACCGTATAAATCCATATGAATTATATTATATATAATATATATATATATATATATATATATATAGATTTTAGAACGAATGTTATCGTATCAATGAATTGATTCAAGTGGTAAGTAACTTGATTAAGTAGATTTGAGTGATTTCTTGTAAATGTAAAAAGTCCCTATTAAAAAACTCACGGCCAAAATTAAATGTTCAAATGTACGACTCGAATCGGTCCGAATTAACCAACCAAATAAAAAATCTATAATCATTGAAGTTATTACGTTGTCAGTCAATACAATAATGTCTAAATGTATTACTTTAAATTCAAATCATTTTGAATTAATGAAATTTTGACACAGTCAATTGTAGCTTATACTTTTATGTAACAAATTCACGTTGATAAATTGAATTTAGGGTAAATTATGAATTTAGTACCTAAACTATTAATTGATTCGTTTTAGTACTTAAACTTTCATTTTTTTTCAAAATCATATATATGTTTAGTTTTTGTTTCATTTTAGTACCTCACCTTTAAAAATTTAATGCGTTTAGTACCTCCTTTAAAAATTTAATGCGTTTAGTACCTAAAATTACTTTGGTCCATTTTGGTACTTGAACTTTCAATTTGTTTCAAAACATAATGTTAAATTTTTAATAGGGTATTAAAATAAAGTAAAAATTAAACGTTAGACAAATTTTGAAAAACTAAAAGTTTATGTACTAAACGGATTAAAACTGATAGTTTAGTTACTAAATATGCACGCACGCACGCACGCACGCACGCACGCACGCAGCACGCACGCACGCACGCACGCACGCACGCACGCACGCACGCACGCACGCACGCACGCACGCACGCACGCACGCACGCACGCACGCACGCACGCACGCACGCACGCACGCACGCACGCACGCACGCACGCACGCACGCACGCACGCCGCACGCACGCACGCACGCACGCACGCACGCACGCACGCACACACACATAATACATATGATTATATATATATATATTATATATATATATATATATATATATATATATATAGATTTTAGAACGAATGTTATTAATATAGTATGACCGTATAAATCCATATGAATTATATATATATATATATATATATATATATATATATAGATTTTAGAACGAATGTTATCGTATCAATGAATTGATTCAAGTGGTAAGTAACTTGATTAAGTAGATTTTGAGTGATTTCTTGTAAATGTAAAAAGTCCCTATTAAAAAACTCACCGGCCAAAATTAAATGTTCAAATGTACGACTCGAATCGGTCCGAATTAACCAACCAAATAAAGAAATCTATAATCATTGAAGTTATTACGTTGTCAGTCAAATACAATAATGTCTAAATGTTATTACTTTAAAATTCAAATAATTTTGAATTAATGAAATTTTGACACAGTCAATTGTAGCTTATACTTTTATGTAACAAATTCACGTTGATAAATTGAATTTAGGGTAAATTATGAATTTAGTACCTAAACTATTAATTTGATTCGTTTTAGTACTTAAACTTTCATTTTTTTTCAAAATCATATATAATGTTTAGTTTTTGTTTCATTTTAGTACCTCACCTTTAAAAATTTAATGCGTTTAGTACCTCACCTTTAAAAATTTAATGCGTTTAGTACCTAAAAATTACTTTTGGTCCATTTTGGTACTTGAACTTTCAATTTGTTTCAAAACATAATGTTAAATTTTTAATAGGGTATTAAAATAAAGTAAAAATTAAACGTTAGACATAATTTTGAAAAAACTAAAAGTTTATGTACTAAAACGGATTAAAACTGATAGTTTAGTTACTAAATACATAATTTACCCTTGAATTTAATATATATATATATATATATATATATATATATATATATAATCCAAAATGAATTATTGGGAGAGTTAAAATAATTTAAAATGTTAATGGGAGAGTCAAAATTGACAGCTCTAGAACCAAAGACTGGATGTGTGGTTACTGCGACCATTTTCAACTATAAATTAAATACAATCATTTGGCAATATAGATGCATATTTGCATATGGAACCAACAATAGGATGGAGTTTTTAGATTAAATTTTCGACTCCCTAGCTGGTTTTCACTTCCAATAAAATCAAAATAAAAAAATTAGCGTCATCCTTGTATTATTTTTTTCGTAACGTAAATCTCTAATTCAAAAAATAATTCAATGTGATATTTTAACTAATATTTTTCATCATTAACCAATATTAATGTAAGTATTTCGTCATTAGACTGTTCTGAGTTAACCATAAGTTTATGCAAAAATCATCTCCATGATTTTTTCCTTTTCCTTCAATAACTCCACATGCAACCGAAAACTGGTTATTTCCGCCTCTACTAACCGCTACAAGCAATACTCCATTTGTGACAGATTTGAGAAAACATCCACGTCAAAAGAAATTAATAGTCATTGTCAATGACAAAAAAACCATCGATCAAAGTATGACATTAGATTTTTTTTAGTTGAAGGTTGCATCAAAACAAAAAATAATATTAGGACCACATTGATTCTTTTTAAAAATACAAGACACAAGATTTACATTGGAAGCGACGACAACGTTTGTTTAATAGGACAGGGCACGGGAGTTACAAATTAAAGTCCAGTCCATAAGTTCATGGAACTGCTCAACCTAAAAAAACAACTCAAATTCCCATTAACCAACCCTATAAAATTTATTTCAAAGGAAATTCAAGAAATAAAAATTAAAACCCAAATTTCAAAAATGAGAAGAAAAATCACAAATTTTGGAGCAAATTACACTTTGTGCGCAATAGGCTAAGGCCGGGTTCTTGATTCTGTGGGCGGGGTATGACCACCGGAACCCTTTGAAGGATGATCGGACGATTGTCTCAATCCGTCGTCGGTTTCGCCTCTATTCATATCTTCAATCATACGTAACACTTCCGGCATGGCGGGTCTTTGATTGGGCACGGTAGATACACAAGTCATTGCAATTTGCAACAGTTGCACCATTTCCTCTTCAATGCTATGATGTCTCATTAATTCGACATCGAAAACCTCCGCGGTCCATTCCTCTCTAACCACCGATTGGACCCATCGAGGAAGATCGATCCCTTCTTCCCCTAACGATGCTTGATTAGGTGCCCTGCCGGTCAATAACTCGAGCAATAAAACTCCGAAGCTATAAACATCGGACTGGAACGTAACTTTGTGAGTTTCTACTATTTCGGGTGCACGGTAGCCTGCGAAGCGACTAGGCGGAGTGGTGTTGCCGAAGAGCGGGTAGAGACCGAAGTCGGAGATGCAAGCTTCGTGATCAGACCGGAGAAGAACGTTGGAGGACTTAATGTTGCCATGGACCAGTTTTCCTGAAACGTGAAGGTGTGCTAGGCCTCTAGCCGCGGTTAACGCTATCATCATCCGGTTCTCCCAGTCTAATGGAGTTCGGCCCGAGCCTCGGCTTCCTGCAATAACCGTGTCATAACGATTTTTAAGGTCGACCTAAACTATAATCATATATATTTTAATGTCTACGGTATTCGTAACCGCGACACTATAATCACATCCGTAAAGTACATCGGGATTTAGTATGATGCATGCATGCATGAGATGAAACAGAGAAGCTTACCGTGAAGCAGAGCAGATAAGCTTCCGTCACGCATGAGATCGTAAACGAGCAATTTCTCGTCTTTGGAGTAATAAAAGGCTCTCAAAGGGACCAGATTTTCGTGCTTGATTTTGCCCACCATTTCCATCTGCATTTCGAACTCTCTCTGGCTGACCGCCACGTCTTTCAGCCGTTTGACAGCCACCGTCATCCCCTCTTCCAGCACCGCCTTGTACGACGTCCCGACGCTGCCTTTTCCCAACACTTCCGCCGATGCTCTCAATAAATCCTCCAAATCGAAGCTGTAAACTCCGCCTTCAAAGAACACTAGCTTGTTCCTTTCCCCTTCCATCGATGATCCCGTTATTTCATCTTTCGAAGACGAAGTCCCCGCCTCCGCCGGCGGAACATCCCGTGTTGTCACCGGAGCTGACGGCTTCGAGTCCTTCGCCGGCCTCCGTTTCCGTTTACGGAGGCATAGAATGAGGAATAAAAGTAACAATAACGCTGCAAACGCAGAACCTGCCGCAATGCCAATAATGGCGCCAGTGGAAAGTCTCCTGGAGTTTCTACCGGAGGTTGTGGGTGGAATGAGCTCGGACGGAGACGGCGCCGGAGGAGGGAAGAATGGGTTACACGGCGGCAGTGGGCCTCCACAAAGAGCAAGGTTTCCGGCAAATGAAAATACGGGGAATTGAGATAACGACTCGGGAATTGAACCGTTGAGGTTGTTATTAGCTACACTGAAATCATTCAATCCATCGGAGTCGATGCTGGGGAGAGACCCGGAGAAGGTGTTGTTTTGCAAGAAGAGTCGGGTCAGTTGAGTTAAACTGTTGACGGCGAAAGGGATGGGACCGGTGAAATTGTTGGAAGAAAGATCGAGCCGCACCAACCGAGTTAAACGAGTCACACTAGGTGGGAACGAGCCGGTGAACTTATTACCTTGCAAGTAAAGGCTACGGAGGAGAGTCAAGTTGGAGAAGTCGGCCGGAATCTCACCGGATAAACGGTTCGCTCGTAGACTCAAAACCCGAAGTTGGCTCAACCGACCGATTGTGTTAGGTGGAATAGAACCGACGAGACCCACACCCGGGAGACGAAGAGTGAAGACGGAAGACCGGTTTCCGTCGCATTTGACGCCGACCCAGTCGCAGGCCGAAGTCGATGAGTTCCATTGAACCCGGTTCTCGTGTTTGATTTCTGAAAGGAAAGCAAGGAGAGCTTGCTTGTCTTGAACCGGTTCGGAGTTTACTCCAAATATTAGTATCAGAACAGAAACTAGAAAAACAGGGACAAAATTTACTATCATTTTGGTCTTTTGAGTAGTAAAATGGAGCGCTATTTAGCCGTTGTTTCGGCCGGCGGCGGGCAAGGACCGGTTTGGGCTAAACTTAGGATGATTTTCCGGCGAGAACCCATAAAAGAAAGAGAAATCGGAGAGTGAGGGAAGGGGAAGCTTTCTAAGGTATCACGAGTTTACAAAGGTTAAAACTGAGTTGAAAATTGAAATACTGCGATGGGAAGCCTTTTATTTATTTTTTTAATTATTATTGTAATGTTTTCTTATTAATATATACCTCTACAACGTCGAATTATAATTATAAAATAATTGTTATTCACAATTTTTAATTAATTAAGAATAAATGTGTATGTATTTTATAAATATAGAATTTTAAATATAATTTAAAAAACATACTTTTTTCTACCATTGGATCGTTTAATGAGTTTATTATTTTAATATATAATTTTTAAGGGTAAATTATGCTTTAGTACCTAAATTATTAATTTTGGTATGTTTTAGTACTTAAACTTTTAATATTTTCAAAATTACACCTAAAGTTTAGTTTTTGTTTCATTTTAATACATTGCAGTTAAAATTTTAATTTTTGTTTCGTTTTAGTACATTCGCTCAAATTTAACGTTAAGTTTATAAAATTTTGAAAATTTAGATACTAAAACAGGCTAAAACGCTTTAAGTTTTTAATAGCATGATATTAAAATAAAATAAAAATTAAATATCATGTATGATATTGAAAAAATTAAAAGTTTAAATACTAAAATATATCAAAACTGATAATTTATATATTAAATATGTATTTTACCTTTTTTTAAACATTAAATGTTGAATTATAATAGTTTGATGAGTAGAACTCATCAACTTAGTGACTAAAATGGTTATTCTCTCCACAAATTTTGTAATTAAGTAATTATATTTATGGACGTGTACTTTATCAATTACTAAAATAAAATTAAAATATATATTATCTTATAATCATTTGTATCGACAAGAAAAAAAAGTTTGGTAATTAAAATAATGTTCCTCTTCATTAACAGGTTGTTTCAAGTGGTAAACAACTTGATTTTGTTTAAGCAAATCTCGAGTCCTTGTGAATGTAGAAAATCTCCACTAAGAGACTCACATACCAAAATTATATGTGTGATATGAGTCCGTCCAGATTAGTTAAGATAAGTTTTGGAAATAAAAAAACAACAAAATAATAATAATGCTTCTATATCCGGTGCTTTTGTTTCGAACGCGCGAACGTATGCGCGTTGATTTGTGAAATTGGATTATGGGCTTTGCGCTTGCTTCGGATTGCTCCATGTGAGAGCGTGAGTGATTATAGTGATGTGAAGGGTACGTGGGTTCTGGCAGTATCCGCTTTGGCTTAAAGTGTGCGTTAGCGTATCATTGTAAAGGAAGTGGATTCCACGCATATACAGAGCGTGGTGGGGAATACGTCGACTTTTCTTTTTATCATCGGCCATTTCCCATGGGCAGTGAAGACTTTGATCGTATTGGATAGGCCCGGAAAGTGTGGGCCACTATTTACTACCGTTGATGGTGATTCCTCACACAAAGAGGTCAGGGTTCGATCGAGCTGAAAATAATTTAGAGTTATTTAAGTTAATAAGTCTTATTTTATAATTTGAAGTTCGTTTGAAATTTTTAAAATCGAGTCAAGTCGAGTGAATTTCTATTTTAATTTAATTGTAAATATTTATAATATTATAATATTATTTATGTCAATTTAATATATTTTTATAACTATATACAATATATACATGATTATATATATATCATACAGAGTCAATTGACTTTATTCCAATTTAAAAATAAATTCACTAATTACTAAAAAATTTGAGTTATTTGAGTTGTACTTTAAAATTCGATTTGAATTATTCGAGTTGTACTTTATAATTCAATTTAAACTTTAAATTTTCAAGTTGAGTTTATAAAACTATAGCTCGAGCTTAATTCAAGACGAATTTTTTCAAATCAAATTGAATAAAACATAATATTATTATTAGAAATATTAATAAATATATTTTAAATAGTTTAATAATTAATATTTGATTAAAATGATATTAAAATATTTTATTAATATTAAATTCATAAAATAAAATTATTTTGAGTATTTATTCTTTGAAGTGAAAAGTTTGGAAAATGACTTACGGAAAATCAGACCGTAAGTCATTTTTCAGAAAACACAAAGGAAATTATGTTGACCAGGAAAATGTTTTACGCTGACCAACCAATTTTCCTCCAACCAAACACTAGAAAATATTTTTCGAAAAACGAATTACGTGAAATAAACACGAGATTTCGAGGAAAACCAATTCAATAATTGATTTCCCGCAAACAAATTGACCCTTATTGGTACTATTAACTGTGAGCCGTTTGATTGATGTAAAAAAAAAAACTTCGATATGATAGTTTATTGTTGTTATGAATGTTTGATTTTGTGTTTTAGTGTCTTATTGTTAAATCGGTACTTTAAATTAATATTTTTTAAAATTGATATTTGAATTATTTTATCTTAAAATTTATGATTAATCATGGATAATTTTTTTTATTAAGTTAAGGTAATTACACAGTAATATCTATTCTAAACACTTTTAATAATTTGAGAATGAACGCTCAATTATCCATACAGTCATCAATACTCAAACTCATAACTTATAAAAACAACAACAATTCTTTTAATTAAAAAGATAAATTAATTCGTGTTTTCACGAAACTTTTAAATCCGTGCAATGAATTATTATTCATGTTCACAAAATTACAAAAAGTTACACTAAAAGTGACATTGGAACATTTAAAATTGATTTGAAATGTATATCAAAGGAGAGTGTGAAAGTCAAAATATCAATGAGAATGCTACGGTCGTACCAATCACTTTAAATTTGTTTGAATTATTATAGTAGTTACCAATAAAGTGGTGCAAATTTTGAATTTTAGGACCAACTGGGCAACTGAAATACAACCTAGTTTGACATTGTATCATCTATCATGGGAAGACATTACATGCACACATATTATAATTTTATGTTAGATGACAGATTTCTAAATTTTAAAAATAATAGATTTATAAAATTTTAAGGATAAAATAAAAGTTTAACAATATATATATATATATATATATATATATATATAAATTTAAAATATATGATCATCTTAATTTTTTAAGGTGGATGTCTCCATCCACCCCTCTTAATCCATCTATGATATTGACTGTCATTGAATTAGGGATGACAAATGAACGGGGCGAAACGGATGCAGATACCCATTCTCTCATCCTCATACCCAATCTAATATTTTTCGTATATACCACTTACCTATAACCCACGACATGTATTTTAAATCCACATTTGTCCATGTATGTATATTCTCAAATTCATCCCACACTTACTATATGCCTAAAAATCCATCACTTATTTCGTACCTTCCAATACCCACTTGACAACAACCTCACGTATTAAGAATTTTATAATTTAAGAAACTGATTCTAAAGATCGAGAATATGAGATAGGAGAAAGGGTAGTCTTGAGATTTGGTTAAATGCTTATACTCTAAAAATGTTAAAATTTATATAATAGTCTTTGAAATTTATAATGGTCTATAATTTATATGGTTGATAATTAGTGGGCGGGTGAATACGGGAGGAGAAAGGTGTTAAACCTAGCACCTACCTACTATCCATGATGGATGTGACTTTTTTACATCCGCACTTATTTATTACCCACTAAACTTATACTCACCCAATATAACTTAAAATGAATATAGTGCAAAATCTACAAAATTATACCATCTATCATCAACGCACGCAATAATAATTAGAGAAAATAACTTCAGTGACCGAAAATACCTTATAATATACGATTTTAACCAGTTTTTTTTGGATTTGCGAAAATGACCAACAAATTCGCAACGCGATCTCGAATTCGTAATGCGAACTCTAATTTTGCAACACATGTTCTAAAATCGCAACATAGTTTCCAAAATAGCGTTGCGATAATATTGTTTACCTATATCGGTAATTAGCGTTGCGAATTTGAAAATCGTGTTGCGATAACACTGTTTACCTACATCAATAATTAGCGTTGCGAATTTGAAAATCGCGTTGCGATAGTACTGTTTACCTACATCGGTAATTAGCGTTGTGATTTTGGAAAATCGCGTTGCGATAACACTGTTTACCTCTATCGGTAATTAGCTTTGCGAATTTGTAAATTGTGTTGCGATAGTACTGTTTACCTATATCAGTAATTAGCGTTGCGAATTTGAAAATCGCGTTGCGATAGTACTGTTTACCTATATCGGCAATTAGCGTTGCGAATTTGTAAATCGCGTTGTGATAGTACTGTTTACCTATATCGGTAATTAGAGTTGCGAAGTTGAAAATCTCGTTGCGATAGTACTGTTCACCTATATCAGTAATTAGCGTTGCGAATTTGAAAATCTCGTTGCGAATTTGAAAATCTCATTGCGAATTTGAAAACCGCGTTGCGATAGTACTGTTTACCTACATCGATAATCAGCGTTGCGAATTTGGAAAATAGCGTTGCGATTTTGGAAAACCCTGGTTGTGATTTACATATTATCATTGCGATTTACATATTCGCGTTGCGATTTTAGAATCTGTGTTACAAAATTTGAGATCGCGTTGTAAATTTATTAGTCATTTTCACAAATCCAAAAAAAATTAATTAAAATCGTATATTATAATATATTTTCGATCACTAAAGTTATTCTCTAATAATTATACTGCCAGCACCATACTTTTTTCCTGGGAGAATGCATGACTTTTTGCCGCATCATTCCCCACTTGTTTTCGTGCCACTCGGCTTCATTCAAATACTTTGACATATCAACAAGTAAGATATAAGAATCCCACTACAGAAGATCTTACACATGCTGTCCACTACGCTGTTGAACACGTCAACAGTTATATATTTTTACTGCTCGAGCATGTAAATTTGCACGTGCAGGTCACTCTATTTTCAAATACTTATTGGTACTATTAACTGTGAGCCGTTTGATTGATATAAAAAAAACTACGATATGATAGTTTATGGTTGACTATGAAAGTTTGATTTTGTGTTTTAGTGCCTTGTTGTTAAATCGGTACTTTAAATTAATATTTTTTTTAAAATTGATATTTGAGTTATTTTATCTTAA